TGGTCGTACGTAGCCTTGTCCAACCTCTTACCCAAATAAGTGACAGTCGCTCGACCAAACTCACACTTTGCCAAGTTGAGAGTTAAATTAGCTGCACGTAGACGTTCGAACACCGTTCTCAACAAACTCACATGTTCCTCCAAGTCACAGAATATAACACTAAATCATCAAGATATGCATTGCAATTCGGTACATCAGCCAAGACGATATTTACAAGACGCTGAAAAGTGGCTGGACGTTTCTGAGTCCGAAAGCCATCGCTGTATATTGAAGGAACTTATCTGGTGTTACAAATGCTGAAATGTCTGACGCTTGTGAAGTAAGTGGTACCTGCCAGTACCCCTTCAACATATCCAGCTTAGTAACAAAACGAGCAGACCCCAGATTATCAACACAGTCTCCATGCGGGTAACGGGATAACTGTCTGCACCGTTACGGCGTTCACTTTTCGAAAATCAGTGCAAAACCTAAACGTACCGTCAGGTTTAGGCACAAGGAGACAAGGAGAGCTCCAGGGACTGCAACTAGGTCTGGCTAAGTCATTTTCAAGCAGATAATTCACTTCTTGACGCATAATAGATTTCTTGACTGCATTTATTGCGATAAGCATTTTGCTTATAGGCGAGCACCGTTTACAACATATCATGCTGTAAGACATTTGTTTGTTTAGGAACATCACTAAACAGACAATAAAATCGAATATTATTTGAACAATGTCAGTTCCTGGTCAGCAGTTAAATGATTGAGATACGAGTGAAGATCTTCTAAAATTCTGAGTTGGCTAACCTTGCACACGCTGAGGAGCGTTGCGAAGCACGACACCATCCTCGTCAGCCCTGAGATACCAGAAAATGGTTTCAGTTCCACGGCTATTGCGACAGAAGAGACCGCGGGCCCTGCAGTTTCATCTGAAGCTTTCACCTCAGGCATCTCCCTGTCATGGTAAGCTTTTATCATGTTTATGTGACAAACTCGGGTTTGACGTTTTCTGTCAGGTGTGTACAGCATATAATCAGTTTCACTCATTTTCTGTTTCACCACATAAGGACCAAAGAAACGGGCAGACAAAGATGATCCAGGAACAGGTAAAAGCACCAACACTTTATCACCAGGCGAAAATGAACGCGCAACTGCTTTCTGATCATATTTGCGCTTCATGCCTTTTTGAGCATTTTCTAGAGATTCTTTAGCCAGTGACCAAGCAGTATGCAAACGATCTCGAAAATTACTGACATAATCCAGTACATTAGTGCGAGGACCCGGAACACTGTTCAAAATGTGATCTTTAAAAACTTTCAAAGGTCCTCTCAGCTGATGTCCGAATACGAGATCGGCTGGACTAAAACCAAGAGATTCCTGTACAGTCTCTCTTACAGCGAATAATACTAAGGAAACTCCCTCGTCCCAGTCTCTAGCAGTTTCCAGGCAATACTTCTTCAGCATCGACTTAAGTGTCTGGTGAAACCGTTCAAGTGCGCCCTGGCTTTGTGGGTGGTACGCACTTGAGACTCGGTGAGATATTGACAACGACTCCAGTACTTGTCTAAAAAGTTTTGATAAAAAATTCGTGCCCTGATCACTTTGTACTATTTTCGGAAGACCGAAAGTAGAAAAAAATTTCACCAATGCTTTGATGATAACAGGCGCGGTAATTTTCCTTAATGGAATTGCTTCCGGAAATCTAGTGGCCATGCACATTATGGTTAACAGAAACTGGTTACCCGACTTAGTTTTAGGCAATGGCCCAACACAGTCTATGAGCACATGCTCGAACGGCTCTCCAATAGCTGGTATGGGAGACAGAGGAGCGGGCGAATCACCTGGTTCGGCTTCCCAACAGTTTGACACGTATGACAAGTACGGCAGTACTGAGCCACATCTTTCTTTAAGCCTGGCCAGAAAAAATGTCTCAGAATCCTATCATACGTCTTTGTAATTCCTAAGTGACCTGCAAGCTGATGATCATGCGCTAAACATAACACATGTTTACGATAAGGAAAAGGAACGACCACCTGGTACACAACATTCCACTCTGAATCATTTGTGTTAGAACACCACTTCCTCATCAATAACTCATTCTCCCGAAAGTAAGCAACTTTTTGATCTTTAACTGAATCAAGAGAGACGGCAGAATTAAAAACAGCATTGAGAGACTCATCTTCTTTTTGTGCAGTAATAATTTTTTCTCGTGACACGGGTAATTTTAACGCATCGGCGTCAGACACATTTTCTCTGTTAACCTCTGTCTGTGATTTATCTATTTTTGGCGACGTACCGGCACACAATTCGTCACCAGAAAAAAGAGTGATAAAAACAGAGTCAGACAAATCAACCATATCACCCACTTTACGCGACTGAGCGCGGGTGACAGCGCATGCGGGAAAAACTTCAGGGTAAGTATGTGACACATCCAATTGACTGAACGCATCTGGCTTTTCAACAACTTCTAACACAGGCAAAATTTTCCCCCCCGCTAGATCATTTCCAAGGATAAAATCAACGCCCTGGACAGGAAGAGAAGGACGTACTGCCACTCTTACAAATCCCGTACATAAGTCACTCTGCAGGTGGATACGATGTAATGGCACAGTAATACAACTCATGTCAATGCCTTGAACTATCACACTTGAATTACAGAAAGTGTCCTCAGAGAATGGTAATTTATCTGCCACAATAAAAGACTGCATTGCACCGGTGTCTCTGAGCATTCTTATTTCTTTCTGTTCGTCACAATTTCCCTTTAGAGAAATTAACCCTTTCAAGATAAAAGGTTGATAACTGTCATCGATTTTCTCCACTCTAGGTACACTGACAGTCGGCTTACAAGTCTTCACAAACCCTACGCTCTTAGGCTGCTGCTTGCGTTTTAAAGACAGACAATCTGCGATCACATGTCCTTGTTTGTGACAGTAAAAACATTCACGATCCTCTCTCGTACGAGTTGGACTGTGTTTGGGACGGACTGGTGGGTTTTGCAAAGGAACAGATTGTGATCGCTCTGGACGTGCAAGTGCAAAAACGTTTTTGTGGGTTAAAACAAACTCGTCCGCTAACACAGCTGCTTGAGACAACGAAATTACTTTCTGTTCATTTAGGTAGACCACTACACGATCAGGTAAACACCCTTTGAACTCTTCGAGCAGTACAAGTTCTCTTAACTCATTAAAATCACTCACTTTGCTAGCTGTGCACCACTTGTCAAACAAGATTCCTTTTTCTCTAGCAAATTCCACAAATGTTTGAGCCGAATTCTTTTTATGCCCACGAAACTTCTGCCTGTAAGCCTCTGGGACTAACTCGTAAGCACGAAGTATCGCGGACTTCATAGACTCATATTTTAAACTTTCTTCTAGAGATAAAGTAGAACAGACTTCTTGAGCTTTTCCAATCAATTTACATTGTAACAATAGAGACCAGACGTCGTTAGGCCATCGAAGAGAAGTAGCTATGCGCTCAAATGTACTGAAATACGAATCAACCTCTGATTCTCTAAACTGAGGTACTAAAGAAATGTACTTACTAATGTCAAACGTTACCTGGGACGAATCAGACCGCGGAGGAACATCAGAGGTTGGACCTGGAGTCGACTGCACAGCTGAACCGGCAGCGATTTTCATTGCGTCCAGATCAAGCTGTCTCAGCTTCACCTGAGTCTCTGCCTCAATCTCAAGCCTGCGTACCTCCAAACGCAGATTTATCTCAGCTTGACGTGCCTGGGCTTTCTCCTGTGCCTCGTATTGCAAACGGGCCAAGCGGACTCTCAGTCGCGCTCCATCTCTGGAATCAACAGAACTGGGAGAGAATGGATCAAACGGTGGCAAGCCGGCCTTAGCATCGGCCCCCACCTCTGCCTCAGCATCAGCTCTACCGCTCCGTTTATCCTCATCATCCACAAAACTGCGATTTGTCACGGCAACGCCACTCCCACCAACACTCACCTCTGCACCTCCGCCAGCCTCATCACCCACAGGACTTGACACAGGAAGAACATTAATCTCTTTTAAACGATGTATCAATTTACTTTGTATCTCGCTCTTAAGGGTCTGTCTACTCACCTCAATCTGATAGTGGTCAGCTATCAGAACTAAATCTTGTTTCTTGCAAGAACTAATCTGTTCGAAAGACGGGTTGGCAATGAATTTTTTTAAGCTAAACACTTCCATGATGCACAACCAGCAAACGAGTACAAAAATACTGCTCTGCATGAATAAACCGCAAAAATAAACGTAACGTCACTTACCACTATCATACACACATACAACTGATCACAACTGAATTAACTTGAGATAAAAGATCCTGGACGAGCCCCCATTAAATGTTACGTACCCTCAAACAAGTTTGTTTGAAAGGGGCAACATTGAGGTTGTGATCAGGAGATGGTGCACGTTATAATGGCAAGAGACGACCCATACTCAGAGTTGTGAAAATATAAAGTATGATTTATTTGACAAATGATATTTTAATGCAAAGATAAATAAATATAATAATAATAATAGAGTATAAGGACATAAAGTGAAGCCAAATAAAAGAAAGGAACAAAACAAACACCAATTAACTAAACCCCAACCTCTTAGCTCACTAATAACAAAAGAAAATAAAAGACAAAGATCTTCAGCGCAAAGCGCCCTCTCTACCTACACTAACTAATAACAAAACATACAAAAGTGGCATTCACTCTCTTACCTGGTGTAGTATACATCGAGTTTACTAGGTGTTGTTTTATGTACGTCACGTGACATTTTACCTGTCCAAATTACTCTTGGTAACCTCAAAACACGCCATCAAAGGCAGAACACGTTACAATTAGTAACCTCAAAACACGCCATCAAGGCAGAACACGTTACAATTAGTAACCTCAAAACACGCCATCAAGGCAGAACACGTTACAAGTGGTAACCTCAAAACACGCCATCAAGGCAGAACAAAACAAACAGAGTAATGTCTGTAACAGAAAAATAACGTACATACAAGCGGCAATCAACACACAGAAAGAAACAAAGCTGTCTTGCGTTCTTCTCCCGCTTCCCTTTAAACTCGTAGGTTGAACTTGATAGGCCACGGGAGGGAGATGACGTCATGATGTGAATGAAGATTGACATCGCTCTCAACCAACAGCGGACAAGAGATGACGCAAACCTAAGAATAGGATAGTGGTAGAAGAGAGAGAAGAGAAATAGAAACCAAAAGAAAACATACGACCACAGGGACGTAACAATACAATTCAAAGTTTGGAAGCGCTAATCTCCATTATGTTTTGCACGCTGCAGTGTTTCAAATTTCAATCTGGGTTGCTTGCCATTCCAGATGAATTTCCGAATTTTAGAATTAAGTTTGTGCCAAAACAATTTAGGCACAGGTAACGGAATCATGGAGCTAAGGAAATTGATTCGTGGCACAACATTCATTTTAACGCTCGCTATTCTGGCATGTAATGATAATGGCAACGAGGTCCATTTTTGGAGGTCTTGTTCAACCTTAGTAAGAATTTGTAGATAATTGGCATCAGGTATGCCATGGAGGGAAGAGTGAACAACAATGCCTAAGTAACTTAGTGAAGATTGTATGGAGATATTACAAGGTAGTCTAACATTCTTAGCCATGGTATTAAGTGGAAGTAAAGCAGATTTATCCCAATTTATCTGTACCCAGAGAGCCCACTGAACTTATCAAATACCTTCAGTATCTGGGGAAATGAAGCTTGGAGATCGGAGATAAATAGTAAAATATCATCGGCATAGAGTGATATATGTTGCTTATGAGAGTTAACTGAGATTGAACAGATATTTTCCTGTCTTATCAATTGGGCTAGTGGCTCAAGTGACATTGCAAATAACATAGGGGATAATGGGCATCCTTGTCTTGTGCCTCGTTGTAAATTAAAGGGTAAAGAATGTACTCCATTAGTCATAACAGATGCCGTGGGGTTACTATATAAAACTCTTATCATGTTTATGAAGCCTTTACCCAGACCAAATACCTCCAAATAGACCAGAGGTAGTCCCACTCCAGCCTGTCAAACGCCTTCTCTGCATCCAACGAAAGAACCGCAGCTGGAGTGGGACAACCCTGGGATTCATGAATGACGTGCAATAGTCTCCGGATGTTGTCCGCCGCTAATCTGTTAGGCATGAAGCCAGACTGGTCAGGGTGGACTAAAAAATTCACATATCGCTGTAGTCGCAAGGCGAGAACTCTGGCATACATTTTTATATCAGTGTTTAGCAAACTAATGGGTCTGTAGTTTGCACAATCCGTATGATCTTTCCCTTTTTTGGGTATCAGCGATATAAGTGCCGTATTCATCTGCAGGTGAAAAGCGCCCACCTCTACTGCCGCGTGAATGGCAGTTAGGAATACAGGTCCAAGAAGATCAAAATATTTAAGAAATAATTCTGCAGGGATCCCGTCTAAACCTGGTGCTTTGCCTTTCTTTGCGTCTTGTAGCGCCCCTTTAAGCTCCTCCAAAGTAACTGGTTGTCCTAAAGATTCAGCTTCCTCATGACTAAGTCGAGGTAGAGTAAGAGACTGCAAAAAGGCAGTGCAACTTGAATTTGAGGGATTAAGTTCCGATGTATAGAGTTTGGAAAAGAAATCGAAAAAAGAGGAGTTTATTTCTTTGCTATTCCCAACCAGCCCTTTAGAAGGGTGCTTAATTTTTTCAATGTAGGCCTTCGCCTGATTTTGCTTCAGTCTTAAGGCTAAAAGTTTGCTCGGTCTGGCACCACTAAAGTAATACGACTGTCTGGTTCTGTGAATCACAAATTCTGCTTTCCTTCTCAAAAGATCGTTTAATTCCGCTTTAAGGGTCTGAAGCGTCTTATAATTTGAATTAGAAAAAGAAGATTTTAGTGACAAATCGAGTTTTTGACATTCTTTTTCTAAATGGTCAATTCTCTGATTATGTGCCTTTTTTACATTAGTAGCAAAGGCAATAGAAAAATCTTTGATAAAACCTTTCGTAGCTTCCCAGACAAAAAGAGGGTCCTCAACCGAACCAATATTAAATGAAAGAAATTCAGATAGACCGGCTTTGAAGTCTTCATCGAACTGATTGTTCTGTAAAAGGGAGATATTAAAACGCCACCGCGGAGATCTTTCAACAAATGGAGCACATTCAAATTCTACCATTAAAGAGTTATGATCTGTAAGAATAGCTGGTAGTATAATTGTCTGGTCAAAGGAGTCCAAAAGTTCTTGGAGCATAATAGATAATCTATTCTAGAAAAAGAGAGATGTCGTGCCGAGAAAAAGGTAATAATTTCTACTCGAGGGGTCCCCGATCTCCAAACGTCAACCAAATTCAACATTTTTACGAAATCATTAAGCGCAGATGAGGAATTTAGCTGAACTTGACTGCAGGAAGAAGATCTGTCCAATACAGGGTCAATCACCGCATTCATATCCCCTCCGATAATCAGAGAATAGTCTATCAATGAAAGTAAAAGATTAGTAACATGTGGGAAAAAAATTTGTCTCAAATATTGTAGGAGCATAGATTGAAACAAAAGCTATTTTCCGCCCCTTAATGTTTGTACAAAAATATGCAAGTCTGCCAGAATGATCTTGACTTTCTCTGTCAATCTTAAGGTTACAGTTACGTTTAATCAAAATAACTGTACCTTTAGTTTTGGTGTTATCAGTGGAAAAGGCTACAACTTTATAAAATTTATTCTGTAATCTCTGAACATCTGCTCTCTTTAGATGAGTTTCCTGAATTAGAGCGATATCAATCGCTTTCCTGCGCAAGTAGATCAAGAATTTAGCTCGCTTATTTGGACTGTTAAGACCTCTAATATTAAGTGAAATAATTTTTAATTTATCCATAGTCTAATGAAGCAAAGGTACGATTTGCAAAACCAAAATGTATCTGTTTAACCTGTGACAAAACTAAAAGATTATAAAAGGCAAATAGAAAAAACATGAACAAAAAAAAACCCTTAGAGACCGCAAATTTCCCCATCATTATAAGGGCCCGTGAGAACATCCACCGTCGCTCAACAGAACGACAAACACTCTCTTCCATTGAACATGAAGTATGTAGTATATAACAACAAAGTATGCATAGTATAAACAGTAGTGACAGCCGTATATTCTGTGTATACAAGAAATAAAACCAAATACAAATGTTTGACCGAAAAAAAAAAAAAAAACTCCTCTGCAATGGATCGTTACATTGCTAGCACATTACATTATCAGCGTACTCACTTCTATCACGGTTGACTCATTTTACTCATCCATAGACTCTGGAGGTGGCTCTGGACCATAAAAGGACAATTTACGTCTGGTGCCCGATCCAGGAGTACTACGAGCTTCCACTAAGAAATCCTCCGCTTTTTTGACTGAATCAAAAGAGTGCTGATTACCACAAAGCTGATACGAAGAGTGGCGGGGTATATGAGGAAGTTTGGAATTCCCAGAGCGTGCAATTCCTTTTGGATACTTCCGAAGGCCTGGCGTCTACGGGAGGTAAACCCACTGTAGTCGGCGAAAAAACGCAGTGTGGACTCTTGGTCACGAATTGGTTCGGTTTTTGCCGCCTCCCTGGCTCCCTGAAGAATCGCCTGTCGATCCTGATACCGTAGCACGCGCGAAAGATCAAAGTGCGGGATTTACCGGAGCCATAGATTCTGTGCGCGCGGTCTATTTCGATCGATCCCTTCCTCTTCAGCGCGGGAATCCAGATAGGAAGCATCTTTTGAAGAAAACCAATTGGATCATCCCCTTCCCGGCCCTGCGGCAGCCCCACCAAACGTAAATTGTTACGGCGAGTAGGGATGCACCGAAATGAAAATTCTTGGCCGAAACCGAAAACCGAAAAAGAGGAAACCAAGGCCGAAAACCGAAACACCGAAAGAAATTATGCCAATTATTAGTATCATTGCATTTATGGCTATGACTGTGTACAAACTTAACTAAAATCAAGGCATTGCAATTGCATAAATTAATATAACATTTTCAAAGAAAATAATCAATTACAAATATATGCAAATATATATTTAGCACAATGCACAGTATAAAATAAAATTCAAACTAAAATGTTTAACTTGACCCCACTTATGTGTACACTAAATAATAATCTACTGGCCTGCAGAAAGGTTTTAAAATGAAACGTTCTCTCAAAAACAAAGCCGAGCGCAAACTTCTCATCACATTAGCACCCAGTTTGCATGTCTAAATTAGTTATTTTTAAAAATGTAGCATACAATATAAAAAGCCTTTACAATGGTCCCATGTTTAATACAAATGTACATGAAACTTAATGAAACATTTTTAGTGAATGTAGAAAATATTTAAAGAGCATTAATTTAGTTCTATACATGTTCCCATATACATATTTTTTTTGTAATGTGACTCACAAGTAATAATCTCAGGGGTTTACTGGGTTTTACATGATTATTTTTGTATTGGTGGTGGAATACAAAAAATAAACATTGTCATGTGTTTATCTGTCTTCTTCTCACCGATTCCTGATGGTTAGAGGACAGTTACTTGAGTCGTCCCCTGTCGTTTCAAGGAATAGTAACAGTTACACAACGGAGCGCGCGTCAAGTATAAACGCCTTGACCGTTTGGAGCGGTGCACGCGCTGTTTGTGGAGACTCGCGCTGCCTTGTTTACTTTCGCCTGCCTCCGCAGCGCGAGTCTAATTTATAATTTTTAATTGTTTCCTGCTCTAAACAATGCGTGCCGCCATGACGACGACTCCGGTTCCGTGCGGGTCAAGAGCGGTGCGCGCGCTGTCTGTGGAGACTCGCGCTGCCTTGTTTATACTTTCGCCTGCCTCCGCAGCGCGTGTCTCCACAGACAGCGCGCGCACCGCTCTTGACCCGCTCGCAACCGGAGTGGTCGTCATGGCGGCACGCATTGTTTATAGGTGGATTAGATTTCCGTCTCATTGCGGGTTCAGATACACTGAAATACGTCCACACCGCAGACATTTTGCTTCAGACAAGCACGTGCAGGTCGCGGTTTCTGTTTGCGTCATCACAACATTTCGGCCGTATTGTTTCGGTGATAAAAGTCTTTCGGCCGAAAACCGAAAATGCACTTTTGGCCATTTTCGGCCGAAATTTTCGGCGGCCGAATATTCGGTGCATCCCTATTCAAGACACCTAGAGTCCATGGAGGGACCGATGGAAAGAGAAAAAAAAGGTGTGGCTGGTGGACGAAGGAACCACAGAACAGTAGGAGGAGGATGCCTCTGTTACCCCTTTTCCACCAAAAAAGAACTGGTTCCGAACTGGTGCTGGTTCAAAGTTGGTTCGGAGTTGGTTCAACTTGCGAACACGTTCAGAACCTGTTTGTATTTCCACTGACTAAAGCGCCAAGGGAACGACGTCGTTACGTCACTGTGTACATCGCCATACGTCTTAGCTAGAAACGCTTGCAAGTACAACATTACTTTGGGATTATCCCTAACTCGTGTACCAAGAAGGCTTTAAAAACAATTGAAATATGTAAGTCTTTTAATCTTTTCATTTGATATGTAATCTTTTCTGATAAGTTGTGTACCCCTGTCTTGTGTCTTTTTTCTTTCCATTTATTTGTTCTATATTGTGACTGTTTGTTTCTTCTTTGCTTATAATGTTTTAAAAAAAAAAAACGCTTAGAAATGCTTGCACCAACTACAAGCATAACAATTACAAAGGCGGACTTTGTCCTGGCTTTGCGATCATTTAATATGGTCAGAAAAGATGTTTAGAACGCATCTAAACTCGCCCCAGCCCCCGACGTAAGCATGACGTGGTAAAAGAACGGTTCTAGTCCAGCAAAGAGTTGGTGCCACTTTGGAACCAGTTTTCCCGGCTGAGAACCGGTTCTTTGGCTGTCGAAACACAAAGAACTGGTTCGCGGGCAGGCACCGGCTCCGAACCGGCTCTAAAAATGCTTTGATGGAAAAGGGGCTTGTGAGACCAGTGAATCCACTTCTCCTGACAATGCTGTATGGCTGAAGGTCCTTAGTGTTGCCCTCTGCATTTTACACCAGGGCGGAGCCATGGGAACTGAAGACCAAAGTGGAGTTAGGGGGCTTGATACCAATGTGCAGATGGAGGGATAAAAGACCAAATCAATACCAAGCACAGGGGTCTAAAGGGAAAAAGACGGTAAGAGGAGTGAGGTGGCGATGAAGGCTCAGAAGACAGAGCCAGTAAGAGTGAGGACAAAGGAGTTGTCGGAGGGATGGAGCCAGCCGGACCCAGCCGAAGCTCGAGGAGGGGGTTGAGCTAGAGAAGCCAATGAAGCCAGAAGAGGAGGTGAAGCCAGAAAACTGAATTAAGGCTGCAGAGGGGGTGGAACCAGAGAGCTGGGTAGGACAAACGAAGACGAACGAGCCACAGAGCCGTGTAGTACCGGTGGAGATAAAGGAGCTAGGCAGGACCAGCAGAAATGAAGGAACCAGGGAGCCGGGCGGAACAAGTAAGGACAAAGGAATTAATGGAGGAGGAAGGGCTTGAGAACAATAGGAAACGTCGAATCCAATATTCCAACTGGAATACAGTAGAACTGAGTCTCAAACATCAGCTTTTTATAGGGAGTAATTTTTCTAATCATGGACAATTGAGTAAGCATGTTATTATGAAAATTAGATTAGTAGTTAACTCATTTTAGTGTTAATGTGCTAAATAATACAAATTATTACAATAACTACAATAACTACACAGGACAATGAACTGAACCAAACACATGACTTAAAATACGCACATGATAATGAGAAACTAAACAAGACACAGTTGAACACATTCGGTAACCAAGAGAACAAACTAAGTGAGCTTAGACGTGACATAACCCCCTCCCCCCACACCCCTGAGGGAGGGGGAGGTATAATCCATAATGGGGTGGCCAGGTGGGCCAAGATACCCAGGCAAAAAAGTCCATGCAGGGACCAGTGGAGAGAGAAACCAAGGAGTGGCTTGTGGACGAAGGAACCACAGACAAGTAGATGGGGAAGACTCCTTGCGACACCAGTGTATCCACTTCTGCTGATGATTCTGGAGGGCTGAAGGTCCACGGCGGTTCCCTCCCCAGTTTTGACCTGGGCGGAGCCGTGGGAACTGAAGACCAAAGTGGAGTAAGGTGTGCTGGATACCAAGGGTCAAATGGAGGGATGAAGAACCAAATTGGCACCGCAGGCACTGGGGTCCAAGGCGGAACCGAAGAGTCAGAGGACTGAGGTGGAGAAGAGGGCTCGCAAGACAGAGCTGGAGGCAGTTGGAGTGAGGACAAAGGAGAAGCCAAAGGGGTGGAGTAGCAAGTAGAGCCAAATGGCTGGAGGGATGAGGCATTGCCAGAGGCAGAGCTTGTGTCTCAGGAAAGATGAGGCAAACCAGGCAAATGAGCAGAGCCAGTGAAGGGTGTGGATCCACTACCAGTTAAAATGTTTATAATTGAATATAAGTTATTCTTCTAACAATGATACTTTGATTGCAATACATAAAATGAATTGCATGAACATATGTCATTGATAACTTCTAAGTAATATTTCGTGATTTTTTTTTCTATATGTCCATATATCACAGCATCCACTGTCACTACAACCATTTCATCAACTGCTTCTACAAGTGAGACACCTACACCTACTCCTTCTAAAAGTGAGTACTTTTCATGGACAACTGTGTAAACTATTAACTGTATTTTATAATTTTTCATTACCAATGAAGTTGTATTATGATAATTGTGTCTAACAGTTTCTCCTACAAGATGTAATTCATATAGACAGACAATTATGACATTTCAGTTGAAAAAACTGTGTTAACACAGTTTACAGATGCTGTCATATTATCTTTTATTAAAAGTTTTTGCAAAACAGAATTTAATTTTATGCAGTGATGTCATTTTAAGTATGTCAACGAATATTACTTGCATAATGTTTCTATTCATACATCTAAATATTTTAGCACGCCCTGCCACTACAAGAAGTACTTTAACTGACTCAACACCACCAACTATATCATGTGAGTATTTTTATTTATAGACAGTTGAGTAAACAAGTTAATAGAAAAATTATTTCAGTAGTTCATTCATTTTAGTGTTAATGTGGTAAATGTTAATAATCATAACAATAACAAAACTAGACTAGGAAGTGAACAATTCACAAGACTTAAAAAGCACCCAGAATGACACAGGATAATCAGAATCTAAACAAGACACAGGTGAACACAATGATTAACCAAGGAAACAAACTAACTGAGCTTAGATGTAACATCATCCTGCCCACCCCTGAGGAGGTTGAAACGGAACGTATAATCCATTCAGGTGGGAAGAAGGTTCAAGACACCTAGAGTCCATGGAGGGACCGATGGAAAGAGAAAAAAAGGTGTGGCTGGTGGACGAAGGAACCACGGAACAGTAGGAGGAGGAGGCCTCTGTTACCCCTTTTCCACCAAAAAAGAACTGGTTCCGAACTGGTGCTGGTTCAAAGTTGGTTCGGAGTTGGTTCAACTTGCGAACACGTTCAGAACCTGTTTGTATTTCCACTGACTAAAGCGCCCAGGGAACGACGTCGTTACGTCACTGTGTACATTGCCATACGTCTTAGCTAGAAACGCTTGCAAGTACAACATTACTTTGGGATTATCCCTAACTCGTGTACCAAGAAGGCTTTAAAAACAATTGAAATATGTCTTTTAATCTTTTCATTTGATATGTAATCTTTTCTGATAATTTGTGTACCCCTGTCTTGTGTCTTTTTTTCTTTCCATTTATTCGTTCTATATTGTGACTGTTTCTTCTTTGCTTATAATGTTTTCAACAACAAAAAAACGCTTAGAAATGCTTGCACCAACTTCAAGCATAACAATTACAAACGCGAACTTTGTCCTGGCTTTGCGATCCTTTATTATGGTCAGAAAAGATGTTTAGAACGCATCTAAAACTCGCCCCAGCCCCCGACGTAAGCATGACGTGGTATAAGAACGGTTCTAGTCCAGCAAAGAGTTGGTGCCACTTTGGAACCAGTTTTCCCAGCAGAGAACCGGTTCTTTGGCTGTCGAAACACAAAGAACTGGTTCGCGGGCAGGCACCGGCTCCGAACCGGCTCTCAAAATGCTTTGGTGGAAAAGGGGCTTGTGAGACCAGTGAATCCACTTCTCCTGACAATGCTGTATGGCTGAAGGTCTACAGTGTTGCCCTCTGCATTTTACACCAGGGCAGAGCCATGGGAACTGAAGACCAAAGTGGAGTTAGAGGGCTTGATACCAATGTGCAGATGGAGGGATAAAAGACCAAATCAATACCAAGCACAGGGGTCTAAAGGGAACCAGACGGTAAGAGGAGTAAGGTGGCGATGAAGGCTCAGAAGACAGAGCCAGTGAGAGTGAGGACAAAGGAGTTGTCAGAGGGATGGAGCCAGCCGGACCCAGCCGAAGCTCGAGGAGGGGGTTGAGCCAGAGAAGCCAATGAAGCCAGAAGAGGAGGCGAAGCCAGAAAACTGAATTGAGGCTGCAGAGGGGGTGGAACCAGAGAGCTGGGTAGGACAAACGAAGACGAACGAGCCACAGAGCCGTGTAGTACCGGTGGAGATAAAGGAGCTAGGCAGGACCAGCAGAAATGAAGGAACCAGGGAGCCGGGCGGAACAAGTAAGGACAAAGGAATTAATGGAGGAGGAAGGGCTTGAGAACAATAGGAAACATCGAATCCAATATTCCAACTGGAATAGAACTGAGTCTCAAACATCAGCTTTTTATAGGGAGTAATTTTTCTAATTATGGACAATTGAGTAAGCATGTAATGTGCTAAATAATACAAATTATTACAATAACTACAATAACTACACAGGACAATGAACTGAACCAAACACATGACTTAAAATACGCACATGATAATGAGAAACTAAACAAGACACAGTTGAACACATTCGGTAACCAAGAGAACAAACTAAGTGAGCTTAGACGTGACATAACCCCCTCCCCCCACACCCCTGAGGGAGGGGGAGGTATGGGGTGGCCAGGTGGGCCAAGATACCCAGGCAAAAAAGTCCATGCAGGGACCAGTGGAGAGAGAAACCAAGGAGTGGCTTGTGGACGAAGGAACCACAGACAAGTAGATGGGGAAGACTCCTTGCGACACCAGTGAATCCACTTCTGCTGATGATTCTGGAGGGCTGAAGGTCCACGGCAGGTTCCCTCCCCAGTTTTGACCTGGGCGGAGCCGTGGGAACTGAAGACCAAAGTGGAGTAAGGTGTGCTGGATACCAAGGGTCAAATGGAGGGATGAAGAACCAAATTGGCACCACAGGCACTGGGGTCCAAGGCGGAACCGAAGAGTCAGAGGACTGAGGTGGAGATGAGGGCTCGCAAGACAGAGCTGGAGGCAGTTGGAGTGAGGACAAAGGAGAAGCCAAAGGGGTGGAGTAGCAAGTAGAGCCAAATGGCTGGAGGGATGAGGCATTGCCAGAGGCAGAGCTTGTGTCTCAGGAAAGATGAGGCAAACCAGGCAAATGAGCAGAGCCAGTGAAGGGTGTGGATCCACTACCAGTTAAAATGTTTATAATTGAATACAAGTTAGTCTTCTAACAATGATATTTTGATTGTAATACATAAAATGAATTGTATGCACATATGTTATTTTTAGCTTCTAAGTAATATTTCGTGATTTTTTTTTCTATATGTCCATATATCACAGCATCCACTGTCACTACAACCATTTCATCAACTGCTTCTACAAGTGAGACACCTACACCTACTCCTTCTACAAGTGAGTACTTTTCATGGACAAATGTGTAAACTATTAGCTGTATTTTATAATTTTTTATTACCAATGAAGTTATATTATGATAATTGTGTCTAACAGTTTCTCCTACAAGATGTAATTCATATAGACAGACAATTATGACATTTCAGTTGAAAAAACTGTGTTAACACAGTTTACAGATGCTGTCATATTATCTTTTATTAAAAGTTTTTGCAAAACAGAATTTAATTTTATGCAGTGATGTCATTTTAAGTATGTCAACGAATATTACTTGCATAATGTTTCTATTCATACATCTAAATATTTTAGCACCCCCTGCCACTACAAGAAGTACTTCAACTGACTCAACACCACCAACTATATCATGTGAGTAGACATGTGCCGGTATTCGGTAATGCGATAAATCGCGGTAATGAATATGCACGATATTGTTATCGCGGGCTCTTCAAAATACCGTGGAAAATAATAGATTCAAATTTAGACTTTTAGAGCGCGCATTAGCTGCTTATTTTCCTTCAACCGCTCAAACACTGCGTGCTGGGCAGAACACGCGCGCACTCTGATGTAAACAATCCCCACATGTATAAGCACTGTGTGCTTGCGACAGTGCGCACTAGTCTAATGTAAACAATCCTCACATGATGAAGAAGCATGGCGGAACGCTCCCGACGATTTATCCCCGCAGGGCTGCCAACTCTCAGACATTCCGCTTGAGACTCAAGCTTGACTTTCAGACAGGACGCGGAATACGCGCGCGACGCGCAGGGATGTTTTGTTGCTGCGTCGACCTGCATCGACCACGCCGGTGTTAAAGTTCAAAATAGTTAAACTTTTTATTAGTAAAATAGCAAATCGCGTTGTATCTGAAGGGCAACGTTGAACCAGCGTCGCGCATTCCGCTTCCTGTCTGAAAGGCCCTTAACGCATTTGACACTTTTCACACGCTCTCCCACAGAGAAAAATCACAGAGCAAAGAGGACACTGACACCGACAGACTAGACAGAGCAGGTTACTTTTGATATGAAAGTTGTTATTGATAAATTGAAGTTGATAAATCAGCTCTTAGGTTCTGATCACAGATCGTTGCTCCTCAGTTAAAGTAAACCGATCATCATGTTACTTTCGTTTTTATTTAAAGATACAGTATAACTTACCGAAAGGTATATTTACTTGTACATAATAACGATCAATCAGTGTTTTCAAACACGGAAAGAGGTCAGTAACACTGCAGGAGAACAGTTGTGTCAAAACGTTACATTTACCTCAGGAAAGCCATTTAATGACCAGCACATTAGAAAATAGCAAGGAGTAATTTGCTAAATATTATATTTAATTTCTCTCTGTATGTTTACAGCATTATGTGAGGTTTTTTTTTCTTGAGAAACATTAACAGACTGAGGCCTGCCTAATATTTATCAAAATGAGTCAATATTGAATTAAGACTGAAATCAAATCCAAGAATTTAATTGAATAATACAAACAGTAACCTACCAGTCATTGTAACATGTTGTCACTAAACTTTAAACAATTTGGTTTAGTTTACCATATGTTTTAAAAATCACAATTACACATTGATACAAGTTGAGGTTTTTTTAGAGACCCACAATGCATCTGTTTTTCTTGAAATATAATTTCATTAAAATATCGTGATAATACCGTATACCGCAATAAAAGCTCAATCAATTAACCGCAGCATGAAAATTTGATACCGGCACATGCCTACATGTGAGTATTTTTATTTATAGACAGTTGAGTAAACAAGTTAATAGAAAAATTATTTCAGTAGTTCATTCATTTTAGTGTTAATGTGGTAAATGTTAATAATCATAACAATAACAAAACTAGACTAGGAAGTGAACAATTCACAAGACTTAAAAAGCACCCAGAATGACACAGGATAATCAGAATCTAAACAAGACACAGGTGAACACAATGATTAACCAAGGAAACAAACTAACTGAGCTTAGATGTAACATCATCCTGCCCACCCCTGAGGAGGTTGGAACGGAACGTATAATCCATTCAGGTGGGAAGAAGGTTCAAGACTAGGGATGCACCGAAATGAAAATTCTTGGCCGAAACCGAAAACCGAAAAAGAGGAAACCAAGGCCGAAAACCGAAACACCGAAAGAAATTATGCCAATTATTAGTATCATTGCATTTATGGCTATGACTGTGTACAAACTTTACTAAAATCAAGGCATTGCAATTGCATAAATTAATATAACATTTTCAAAGAATAAATCAATTACAAATTATGCAAATATATATTTAGCACAATGCACAGTATAAAATAAAATTCAAACTAAAATGTTTAACTTGACCCCACTTATGTGTACACTAAATAATAATCTACTGGCCTGCAGAAAGATTTTAAAATGAAATGTTCTCTCAAAAACAAAGCCAACCGCAAACTTCTCATCACACCAGCACCCAGTTTGCACGTCTAAATTAGTTACATTTTAAAAAATGTAGCATACAATAGCATAAAAAGCCTTTTTAAATGAACAATGGTCCATGTTTAATACAAATGTACATGAAACTTAATGAAACATTTTTAGTGAATGTAGAAAATATTTAAGAGAGCATTAATTTAGTTCTACATGTTCCCATATACATATTTTTTTGTAATGTCACAAGTAATAATCTCAGGGTTTACTGGGTTTTACATGATTATTTTTGTATTGGTGGTGAAATACAAAAAAAATAAACATTGTCATGTGTTTATCTGTCTTCTTCTCACCGATTCCTGATGGTTAGAGGACAGTTACTTGAGTCGTCCCCTGTCGTTTCAAGGAATAGTAACAGTTACAACGGAGCGCGCGTCAAGTATAAACGCCTCGACCGTTTGGAGCGGTGCACGCGCTGTTTGTGGAGACTCGCGCTGCCTTGTTTACTTTCGCCTGCCTCCGCAGCGCGAGTCTAATTTATAATTTTTAATTGTTTCCTGCTCTAAACAATGCGTGCCGCCATGACGACGACTCCGGTTCCGTGCGGGTCAAGAGCGGTGCGCGCGCTGTCTGTGGAGACTCGCGCTGCCTTGTTTATACTTTCGCCTGCCTCCGCAGCGCGTGTCTCCACAGACAGCGCGCGCACCGCTCTTGACCGGCTCGCAACCGGAGTGGTCGTCATGGCGGCACGCATTGTTTATAGGTGGATTAGATTTCCGTCTCATTGCGGGTTCAGATACACTGAAATACGTCCACACCGCAGACATGTTGCTTCAGACAAGCACGTGCAGGTCGCGGTTTCTGTTTGCGTCATCACAACATTTCGGCCGTATTGTTTCGGTGATAAAAGTCTTTCGGCCGAAAACCGAAAATGCACTTTTGGGCCATTTTCGGCCGAAAATTTTCGGCGGCCGAATATTCGGTGCATCCCTATTCAAGACACCTAGAGTCCATGGAGGGACCGATGGAAAGAGAAAAAAAAGGTGTGGCTGGTGGACGAAGGAACCACAGAACAGTAGGAGGAGGATGCCTCTGTTACCCCTTTTCCACCAAAAAAGAACTGGTTCCGAACTGGTGCTGGTTCAAAGTTGGTTCGGAGTTGGTTCAACTTGCGAACACGTTCAGAACCTGTTTGTATTTCCACTGACTAAAGCGCCAAGGGAACGACGTCGTTACGTCACTGTGTACATCGCCATACGTCTTAGCTAGAAACGCTTGCAAGTACAACATTACTTTGGGATTATCCCTAACTCGTGTACCAAGAAGGCTTTAAAAACAATTGAAATATGTAAGTCTTTTAATCTTTTCATTTGATATGTAATCTTTTCTGATAAGTTGTGTACCCCTGTCTTGTGTCTTTTTTTCTTTCCATTTATTCGTTCTATATTGTGACTGTTACTTCTTTGCTTATAATGTTTTCAAAAAAAAAAAACCGCTTAGAAATGCTTGCACCAACTTCAAGCATAACAATTACAAAGGCGGACTTTGTCCTGGCTTTGCGATCCTTTATTATGGTCAGAAAAGATGTTTAGAACGCATCTAAACTCGCCCCAGCCCCCGACGTAAGCATGACGTGGTAAAAGAACGGTTCTAGTCCAGCAAAGAGTTGGTGCCACTTTGGAACCAGTTTTCCCGGCTGAGAACCGGTTCTTTGGCTGTCGAAACACAAAGAACTGGTTCGCGGGCAGGCACCGGCTCCGAACCGGCTCTAAAAATGCTTTGATGGAAAAGGGGCTTGTGAGACCAGTGAATCCACTTCTCCTGACAATGCTGTATGGCTGAAGGTCCTTAGTGTTGCCCTCTGCATTTTACACCAGGGCGGAGCCATGGGAACTGAAGACCAAAGTGGAGTTAGGGGGCTTGATACCAATGTGCAGATGGAGGGATAAAAGACCAAATCAATACCAAGCACAGGGGTCTAAAGGGAAAAAGACGGTAAGAGGAGTGAGGTGGCGATGAAGGCTCAGAAGACAGAGCCAGTAAGAGTGAGGACAAAGGAGTTGTCGGAGGGATGGAGCCAGCCGGACCCAGCCGAAGCTCGAGGAGGGGGTTGAGCTAGAGAAGCCAATGAAGCCAGAAGAGGAGGTGAAGCCAGAAAACTGAATTAAGGCTGCAGAGGGGGTGGAACCAGAGAGCTGGGTAGGACAAACGAAGACGAACGAGCCACAGAGCCGTGTAGTACCGGTGGAGATAAAGGAGCTAGGCAGGACCAGCAGAAATGAAGGAACCAGGGAGCCGGGCGGAACAAGTAAGGACAAAGGAATTAATGGAGGAGGAAGGGCTTGAGAACAATAGGAAACGTCGAATCCAATATTCCAACTGGAATACAGTAGAACTGAGTCTCAAACATCAGCTTTTTATAGGGAGTAATTTTTCTAATCATGGACAATTGAGTAAGCATGTTATTATGAAAATTAGATTAGTAGTTAACTCATTTTAGTGTTAATGTGCTAAATAATACAAATTATTACAATAACTACAATAACTACACAGGACAATGAACTGAACCAAACACATGACTTAAAATACGCACATGATAATGAGAAACTAAACAAGACACAGTTGAACACATTCGGTAACCAAGAGAACAAACTAAGTGAGCTTAGACGTGACATAACCCCCTCCCCCCACACCCCTGAGGGAGGGGGAGGTATAATCCATAATGGGGTGGCCAGGTGGGCCAAGATACCCAGGCAAAAAAGTCCATGCAGGGACCAGTGGAGAGAGAAACCAAGGAGTGGCTTGTGGACGAAGGAACCACAGACAAGTAGATGGGGAAGACTCCTTGCGACACCAGTGTATCCACTTCTGCTGATGATTCTGGAGGGCTGAAGGTCCACGGCGGTTCCCTCCCCAGTTTTGACCTGGGCGGAGCCGTGGGAACTGAAGACCAAAGTGGAGTAAGGTGTGCTGGATACCAAGGGTCAAATGGAGGGATGAAGAACCAAATTGGCACCGCAGGCACTGGGGTCCAAGGCGGAACCGAAGAGTCAGAGGACTGAGGTGGAGAAGAGGGCTCGCAAGACAGAGCTGGAGGCAGTTGGAGTGAGGACAAAGGAGAAGCCAAAGGGGTGGAGTAGCAAGTAGAGCCAAATGGCTGGAGGGATGAGGCATTGCCAGAGGCAGAGCTTGTGTCTCAGGAAAGATGAGGCAAACCAGGCAAATGAGCAGAGCCAGTGAAGGGTGTGGATCCACTACCAGTTAAAATGTTTATAATTGAATATAAGTTATTCTTCTAACAATGATACTTTGATTGCAATACATAAAATGAATTGCATGAACATATGTCATTGATAACTTCTAAGTAATATTTCGTGATTTTTTTTTCTATATGTCCATATATCACAGCATCCACTGTCACTACAACCATTTCATCAACTGCTTCTACAAGTGAGACACCTACACCTACTCCTTCTAAAAGTGAGTACTTTTCATGGACAACTGTGTAAACTATTAACTGTATTTTATAATTTTTCATTACCAATGAAGTTGTATTATGATAATTGTGTCTAACAGTTTCTCCTACAAGATGTAATTCATATAGACAGACAATTATGACATTTCAGTTGAAAAAACTGTGTTAACACAGTTTACAGATGCTGTCATATTATCTTTTATTAAAAGTTTTTGCAAAACAGAATTTAATTTTATGCAGTGATGTCATTTTAAGTATGTCAACGAATATTACTTGCATAATGTTTCTATTCATACATCTAAATATTTTAGCACGCCCTGCCACTACAAGAAGTACTTTAACTGACTCAACACCACCAACTATATCATGTGAGTATTTTTATTTATAGACAGTTGAGTAAACAAGTTAATAGAAAAATTATTTCAGTAGTTCATTCATTTTAGTGTTAATGTGGTAAATGTTAATAATCATAACAATAACAAAACTAGACTAGGAAGTGAACAATTCACAAGACTTAAAAAGCACCCAGAATGACACAGGATAATCAGAATCTAAACAAGACACAGGTGAACACAATGATTAACCAAGGAAACAAACTAACTGAGCTTAGATGTAACATCATCCTGCCCACCCCTGAGGAGGTTGGAACGGAACGTATAATCCATTCAGGTGGGAAGAAGGTTCAAGACTAGGGATGCACCGAAATGAAAATTCTTGGCCGAAACCGAAAACCGAAAAAGAGGAAACCAAGGCCGAAAACCGAAACACCGAAAGAAATTATGCCAATTATTAGTATCATTGCATTTATGGCTATGACTGTGTACAAACTTTACTAAAATCAAGGCATTGCAATTGCATAAATTAATATAACATTTTCAAAGAATAAATCAATTACAAATTATGCAAATATATATTTAGCACAATGCACAGTATAAAATAAAATTCAAACTAAAATGTTTAACTTGACCCCACTTATGTGTACACTAAATAATAATCTACTGGCCTGCAGAAAGATTTTAAAATGAAATGTTCTCTCAAAAACAAAGCCAACCGCAAACTTCTCATCACACCAGCACCCAGTTTGCACGTCTAAATTAGTTACATTTTAAAAAATGTAGCATACAATAGCATAAAAAGCCTTTTTAAATGAACAATGGTCCATGTTTAATACAAATGTACATGAAACTTAATGAAACATTTTTAGTGAATGTAGAAAATATTTAAGAGAGCATTAATTTAGTTCTACATGTTCCCATATACATATTTTTTTGTAATGTCACAAGTAATAATCTCAGGGTTTACTGGGTTTTACATGATTATTTTTGTATTGGTGGTGAAATACAAAAAAAATAAACATTGTCATGTGTTTATCTGTCTTCTTCTCACCGATTCCTGATGGTTAGAGGACAGTTACTTGAGTCGTCCCCTGTCGTTTCAAGGAATAGTAACAGTTACAACGGAGCGCGCGTCAAGTATAAACGCCTTGACCGTTTGGAGCGGTGCACGCGCTGTTTGTGGAGACTCGCGCTGCCTTGTTTACTTTCGCCTGCCTCCGCAGCGCGAGTCTAATTTATAATTTTTAATTGTTTCCTGCTCTAAACAATGCGTGCCGCCATGACGACGACTCCGGTTCCGTGCGGGTCAAGAGCGGTGCGCGCGCTGTCTGTGGAGACTCGCGCTGCCTTGTTTATACTTTCGCCTGCCTCCGCAGCGCGTGTCTCCACAGACAGCGCGCGCACCGCTCTTGACCGGCTCGCAACCGGAGTGGTCGTCATGGCGGCACGCATTGTTTATAGGTGGATTAGATTTCCGTCTCATTGCGGGTTCAGATACACTGAAATACGTCCACACCGCAGACATGTTGCTTCAGACAAGCACGTGCAGGTCGCGGTTTCTGTTTGCGTCATCACAACATTTCGGCCGTATTGTTTCGGTGATAAAAGTCTTTCGGCCGAAAACCGAAAATGCACTTTTGGGCCATTTTCGGCCGAAAATTTTCGGCGGCCGAATATTCGGTGCATCCCTATTCAAGACACCTAGAGTCCATGGAGGGACCGATGGAAAGAGAAAAAAAAGGTGTGGCTGGTGGACGAAGGAACCACAGAACAGTAGGAGGAGGATGCCTCTGTTACCCCTTTTCCACCAAAAAAGAACTGGTTCCGAACTGGTGCTGGTTCAAAGTTGGTTCGGAGTTGGTTCAACTTGCGAACACGTTCAGAACCTGTTTGTATTTCCACTGACTAAAGCGCCAAGGGAACGACGTCGTTACGTCACTGTGTACATCGCCATACGTCTTAGCTAGAAACGCTTGCAAGTACAACATTACTTTGGGATTATCCCTAACTCGTGTACCAAGAAGGCTTTAAAAACAATTGAAATATGTCTTTTAATCTTTTCATTTGATATGTAATCTTTTCTGATAATTTGTGTACCCCTGTCTTGTGTCTTTTTTTCTTTCCATTTATTCGTTCTATATTGTGACTGTTTCTTCTTTGCTTATAATGTTTTCAACAAAAAAAAAAACGCTTAGAAATGCTTGCACCAACTTCAAGCATAACAATTACAAACGCGAACTTTGTCCTGGCTTTGCGATCCTTTATTATGGTCAGAAAAGATGTTTAGAACGCATCTAAAACTCGCCCCAGCCCCCGACGTAAGCATGACGTGGTATAAGAACGGTTCTAGTCCAGCAAAGAGTTGGTGCCACTTTGGAACCAGTTTTCCCGGCAGAGAACCGGTTCTTTGGCTGTCGAAACACAAAGAACTGGTTCGCGGGCAGGCACCGGCTCCGAACCGGCTCTAAAAATGCTTTGATGGAAAAGGGGCTTGTGAGACCAGTGAATCCACTTCTCCTGACAATGCTGTATGGCTGAAGGTCTACAGTGTTGCCCTCTGCATTTTACACCAGGGCAGAGCCATGGGAACTGAAGACCAAAGTGGAGTTAGAGGGCTTGATACCAATGTGCAGATGGAGGGATAAAAGACCAAATCAATACCAAGCACAGGGGTCTAAAGGGAAAAAGACGGTAAGAGGAGTGAGGTGGCGATGAAGGCTCAGAAGACAGAGCCAGTGAGAGTGAGGACAAAGGAGTTGTCAGAGGGATGGAGCCAGCCGGACCCAGCCGAAGCTCGAGGAGGGGTTGAGCCAGAGAAGCCAATGAAGCCAGAAGAGGAGGCGAAGCCAGAAAACTGAATTGAGGCTGCAGAGGGGGTGGAACCAGAGAGCTGGGTAGGACAAACGAAGACGAACGAGCCACAGAGCCGTGTAGTACCGGTGGAGATAAAGGAGCTAGGCAGGACCAGCAGAAATGAAGGAACCAGGGAGCCGGCGGAACAAGTAAGGACAAAGGAATTAATGGAGGAGGAAGGGCTTGAGAACAATAGGAAACATCGAATCCAATATTCCAACTGGAATAGAACTGAGTCTCAAACATCAGCTTTTTATAGGGAGTAATTTTTCTAATTATGGACAATTGAGTAAGCATGTAATGTGCTAAATAATACAAATTATTACAATAACTACAATAACTACACAGGACAATGAACTGAACCAAACACATGACTTAAAATACGCACATGATAATGAGAAACTAAACAAGACACAGTTGAACACATTCGGTAACCAAAAGAACAAACTAAGTGAGCTTAGACGTGACATAACCCCCTCCCCCCACACCCCTGAGGGAGGGGGGTATGGGGTGGCCAGGTGGGCCAAGATACCCGGCAAAAAAGTCCATGCAGGGACCAGTGGAGAGAGAAACCAAGGAGTGGCTTGTGGACGAAGGAACCACAGACAAGTAGATGGGGAAGACTCCTTGCGACACCAGTGAATCCACTTCTGCTGATGATTCTGGAGGGCTGAAGGTCCACGGCAGGTTCCCTCCCCAGTTTTGACCTGGGCGGAGCCGTGGGAACTGAAGACCAAAGTGGAGTAAGGTGTGCT